ATATTCTATAAATGTTATTCCCTATTTTATGATGTTATGCAGTCCGTTTGGCTAATATATAAACCAAGTATGTTTGAAATAAATGATTCGCATAGTGGAAGCGGTTATTGACCTTCCGGACTGACCTGGAAGGGCTAGGAAAACAAAGGATCAATAAAGATGTTAAGCTGCGCATACCGGTCGAACGTCTTTGGTTTGGTACAATACTACGATTGAATAAGTCGTATTTCGATTGGCGAATAAATTACGTGATAACTAGCCGAACATAAAGTCACGACATATAATACTATAAAAGTCTTATAGCTAATGAAATATATTAAGAAGTTAAAAATTGAATTATCTCCTGCTATTTCATCATACCAGTGATCTATACTTCTATTTGGTTAATTTAGAAGAGCCTGAATCATTTCAATGAAAGTAAGACTAATATTTGTAAATAAAACAAATGCAGGTTTACGTAATTTATTAAACAAAGTTAAGGAATATTGGGATATTGAAAAGTTAAATTTCATTTCACAACGTTGAAATGACTTTCAAATATAAATTTCGATGATTCAAAAAGATAAGTTAAGCTGAATAGTGGAGTAGTCCAATAATGTAAGAAGCATAATTTTAAGTAATTTGTTTGATGTTTTAGTGAAATTGTACCATTTAAAGTTTGAGATGTTAGCACAATGACAAAATCATTCATTGCAACTGAAGGATACAAATGATGTACATATCAGAACAGACAAATATGATGCATTTTCAACACCTACTATATTATGCCATACTTTAAATTGCAAACATCCTCTGTACAACATTATACTAGTCGATGTTGTGTATTATCCATTCGACTATACTTATCATTTATTTACGTTATCACAGGAGAATAAGTTCCTATAAGGTTTCACATAAATTTCACTATTAAGTAAAGAAAAAACAAATTCAGGTGCACGATTCTCAATCAAATGCTTCCTAACGTTAAGCGCGAAATATTGTCAACCTTAATTAAGAACCTCAACACTTAATGATGAAAATAAACCTAAGATATAACTGGTGAGCTTTAAATATAACTAGTGTTAAGCTTAAAGCAATTTATTGTTCAGTACATAATGCGTGTTATCTTTTAATTAACTAAGTCCTCAGTATGTAATTTCGTGAGGTCCGACACCACGACTTTTACTTTAACTGGTTCTCCAGTTGATATCGATCTGTGATGAAGGTATCTTCATAATCTTATTGAATAAAAATACTGATTGAACCAAAATGTTTTATATAAAAATTCCATCAATAAGTTTTAAATCCACTCACAGTTGATTTATTAACTTAACTCATTTATAGGATACAAATCCGTATACTTGTCTTTGAGACATAAATTTAGTAGGAGAGTTAATGGAATTATCCGACTCTCGAAACCAAAACAAATGGATAAGATTTAAAATTCAGGAGATATTAACTGTTAGTCAAATACTTTCATCACAGGTTCACTTTTTCACTAGTTCACTTATAATATCGATGCGTACAAAACCAAAAAACAGCTGAAAAAGGAATCACGTAGTAAGCAAGTTTATACTGTAAATATGCAATAAAGTGCAATAAATTTCAACTCACAATTTCCTCATTAATTAATCCTATAAAAATTTATCTGGTTCAGCTCTCAGTATAGTTACAAATTTGTGTGTGATTTACTGTAACGTGCTTGTATGTATAACTCCGCCTGGAGCCCCTCTAGGGCTACTGCCCGTCCCGAGCCCGGATAAAGGAGGAGGGTTGGGCATGGGGTTATCGCTCCAATCTCGTAGAAAGCTAACTCGCTACAAATACGCTTACCAGAAAAAAAATTAATAAAATCATTTAAACTCTGCCCTGGAAGTTAGGTTTTTATTTAGAAGAGTTATGACGCCCCATGGTGAAAGCCGAGTTCCTTCGGAATTCACGAGGCTAGTGCCCCTTCCGACAACCAGAGCAACCAATTATTTAGGTACATGAAATGCTCGTACGATGTGGGAGACCGGGAGAGTCTTCCAAATTGCTGCACTTGTATGTATATTATATGTAAATGTTGAATTATGTATAAGGTTTTCATAGGATAATTAATGTATACAAATCAAAATTCATTTAACCATTATATCGATCTGAAGGTTATTCTCATAACGAAAAGATCAAATTTACAGATAAGTTTTTTAAAAAACAAAAATCAAACCATCTAGATTATCCAACAATTGAACAACATATTTTCCTAGTTTATCTAGATTATAGTAATGCACTAATCAATGAACATTCATAACAATGTATTGAATGATTTACCCTTTTCATACACATACATGATGTGTTAGAGTGAACATAATTACTGAAAAAGTGTAGTACGATGAATTCATGTTAGTCTGTGAATTGCCATCATTCGCCTATGTTTGTATGTACTTTGAAGAAAAACATGAAAAACACTACATAAAGATCACGTCTGCTGTAAAGTTTCATGCTGCTATGCAACTACCAACTGTCGTCAGACACGCTGTCGAAGAGTCATTCATTCTGACTCGCGTTTTATGCAGTGAATTGACAAAAAACCAGTAAATACTTATCAGAGGTTGGTATTTTTAATAATCAATTGTGCATTTTATTAATAATTACTTAAGGAGAGAAGAAAAAAAACTAGAGGAATAATTTTCGTATATTCACTTCACTGGATAATTGTTCTAGATTTAACTAAACAGGTTTATTATTATAAGAAAAGATGGATAGTGGACAGTAGTGAAATCCAGGACGCGCGTTTCGTTTATTTGGAACTCGTCAGCTGGATGTATATGCATCTCAGAGTTGGTTACACTACTAATCACCATCCATCTTTGCTTATAATGCTTGTGACTCAAGGCAATACGCACAGCATGCACATACGCCAATGAGAGACTGATTAATTGAAATCCTAAACATCAATGGGAAGATTTGAACAAAGAATGCAAAAATGAATTAAGGTTTATTATTAATAATAATGGTGACGAAGAGATGGGAATCAAGGGAAAATTTAGTGCAAAATTTTATAGAAATTCGCGATCAATTGTATCCATAAACTTGGTAGAATTAACAACAGATTGACTAATCGAGTATATCGACAATTGGTAAACTGAGTTGAAATTACACAGAATATTTAAACGCAATTTTTATTGTTGGATAGTAGGAGGTATTTGGTGCAAAGTCATAGATCTAGGTTTCGTGAGAGCTCAAATTTATTATTTAATTAAATATGTATTTCTGATCGATTGGATTAAATATATCAACCCAAATGACATTAGTATCAACCCGAATACCTTGATGTTGGCACTGTTGAAATAACGATGATGGCATCCGGTCAAAACCTACTTGGAAAATCAATTCCCACTAGGATAAAAAAATACCTAGCTGGTAAATGCGAATCATCACAAAAAATAGTTGCAGTACTCCAACTACCTGCTTCCTCTGAACAACACACACATTATGTCTTTCCATCAGACAGAAAACATCTTTTAAACGACATTTTGAATTAATTGACAAATTAGAACAAAAGACTAGAGATTGGAGGTAATGTTGTCGGTGAAGTATTCAGCAGACGTTCACCGTGTCCAAGTAGTACACCCAACTATTGTAACTGGAAAAAAATACTTTTGCTGTTAAACTGAATAAGGCTGATATGGTTTGACGTAAGGAAAAATGTGATACTACAAACGAAGATTTTAATATGCACTAATAATAAGTCCACAACTGATTCAATAGCCAAATTATCACTAACTAATAAACTTCGTTGACTGGTTTAGCCATTTTCATATATACATATTAGTGTTTCTGATTGAAAACAATGTATTTTCTTATATGTTGATCGGATTTTGAAGGATTGAACTGGAAGCCGTGAACATAAACCATTAATAATTTAATGTGTATACAATTTACAACGTTAACTGACTAAACATCGTTAACTAACAATTATAGCTAAATTATTGGGTAATATATCTGCTCCTTGCAAACATCTACTTCACGATCATTCAGTTTGAACAACTAGAAATAAAGACAAGTTCAGTGATTTTTCCTTTTACATGTAAAACTATCAGTTTAGCTGATCCAGACGTGCTATGAGGATCATTAACAAAATCCGTACAACTACTATTTCAAGTCGCGAACTCCTTTCTTCGCGTATAGAGAAAAGACAATTAAGTCAATTTAATTTACTATACACAGATAACCCAAGTAAAGCTTTCTGAGTTATTTAAAGGAGGCCATGTATTTCACTGTATGGTTTCTATATATGTATACTGAATCAATTTTAGCAAGCTAAATCTTTGAGTTAAACAAAAATTAAACCATAAGTCTTCACGATCTCCGCCAAGAATATTGATTCACCTTTCATCTAATACTTCATTCAATAAACTATATAGTTAATATAAACTTGTCATTCACTTCATTTTTCAGCTATCGCTCCTATTTTCCAACGTAACTGTTGATAACACTATCATCATTTGTAGGCTGCCTGACTGTAAAATGGTAAGCATTAAATGATTTACTAAAGAACACTTCTGAATAACATAACTATGTTGTATGACTTTATCTTGAATTTATTTCTTTTACCATTAATGATACAAATAACTCTGAATTCGTAATATTGTTGTGTATTGATTTCAGGTGGCTAGAAGTAGTCGGTGCTTGGCAGTATAGTATATCTGTAATCTTAGAGGAACCAGTGCTCCCTAACGGATCTGAATGTGGATCACCTAGTTTAATAGTCTGAAATGTTAACACTAAGCCATCTGAGTGGTGAGTGATTTCCTGTAGAACTGAGATATTTACACTGATTGATCACAGTAATGACCAATGTCAAGTTTATCTAGTCCTTTAGTACTGATCAAATTGTAGTGCGGTCACCGATCTAAGTAACTCAAGATCACATGTACCGCTATGTAATTTACCCCCTAATATGAATGATATTGGATTTAGTAGAATGATAAAATCTATAAGTTACACTCAAGTCATTATAATAAGCAAGTTGAAAAAAGTTAATTATTCATATGCCATTCTATCGTTTTAAGTTTCTGCATAGACATTAAAACAACCATGTTTAATTCGTCTTTCATGACAAAAATACAACTAATCCATATTTCTGAATAGATAAATTTTAAGTGAGCGATAACAATAACTCATTGGTTTACTAAAAAGGTTATTACTACTTAAATTTCAATAATTAAGTAGTCCTTACTCTTGACTATATATATATATATATATATATCTTTTGTAGAAAATAAATGGTTTTGGAAAAGAAACTGTAGTAAGACTTAACTCAAGAAAACACTATCATTTAATCCTAGAAACAAATTCAGAGTTTATATATGTCATATGGAACTACTGAATAGATTGTTTATGGTTAACACTCATTACGTGGTAGTTTACAAAGTTTTCTTATATCAGATGAGTTATTATCTTTTAAAACGTTTGCTTAACAATAGTTGAATAAGTCACACTGTATCAAAAGATAGTTTAAATATTAGTATAGAGATGGTGCAAAGATTCGTAAGTTTAAAGTTAGACATCACGGATTGTCATTGGTAGGAGAGTCAATGTAAATCAGATAGAGAGTTCTTAACTGTTTTTTGTTCTATTTTGATACTAAATAGAAGTGTGAAACCTTCATTGAACGTTAAATCGATCTGACGACCTTTGAATACTCATGAGAAAAAATTCAAATTATCTTCACTTCTAAATTCAGTTAATTAATAAACTGAGTAAACATAATTAACTAATGTCATCTTAGATAACTATTTCGTACCTGACATAGTTGAATGCTACCATCTACTGTTTTTCACTTGAGACTTAAAATTAGCCTACTCACTGGAATATCTGAAAATGTTAAGTTTGATAAAAAACAGAATTGTGAGTGAGCTCTGTCGCATAGTGCTAACCTAGCAGGTTCCTGTTCCTGGATTTTCAGTCGGTTAGTTCATAATGTAGACAACTACGAAACGTTTACTTAAACTAATGTTTGTCTACTTATTCTATCAACAAATCATTGTAATTTCAGAATAAACATTTTTTTAAAAAAAACCAACTTACTAGTCATTGTTGTAAACGCTAAGTTCGATTCCATTGAATCACTATTTCCATTCACTGTAGGATCAAGCCAATATATACATGAATATTCAGCAAGACGATTAGCACAATAAGTTAATAGATCTTTTTCAAAATAACCACTTCTTAAAAATTGAAATAAACTCATATTTAATGTTAGAGGTTTGATAATTTGTGGACCATCTTGAGCCATATTTATACCACCAGCTTTAATTCGTGCACTTCCTCTGACCATTTTATTTCAGATAAAATTATTTATAATTATATTATGCAATATGAATAAAAAGATAATTCCTCTAATTTAATTTTCATAAACGAAGTTCTATCATGTTCATCTTCAACTGTCGAATAATTTTTCTTTTTACTCTTTAATCAAAAAGTATATTTTCACATTGAATGATCAAACTACTTAAATCATCTTCAACTCAAATTTTGATTGGTTAATAAATTGGGTTTTTTTTGTTTTCGAAAAGGGGTTAGATAGACAAACACACACACACACATTCAACATATAAGATCTAAATTTTTGTGTTTGTTTTCTGTGCTTCGATTGTTAACTGACCAATTAGAAAGTTCTACTAGCAATGAGACATCAGACAATTTGTAGTCATAGTAATTAGAACTTTTACTCAAATGTGATTATCTTTAAATCATAATCAGAAAATTAGTTTATTTAAATGAAATTCTATTATAATCTAACACAAGATCATTTGAACTATCATAAAATAAAAGGATGATTATTATTAGAAGGGGATTTGAAGCTAGACGACCATGGAAAATTTGAAAGTACTAGACTGTCGTTTCGTTCTAGTATGCACATTGCTGAGGAGTCTTATACTAGGATGAAATGGCCGCCCAGTTCTTCCATGTTTTTCAGTGGTCTAGCTTCAAATGACTCATAATCTCAACTATAAAATTAATAAAAGGATAAGTTAAAATGATCATTGTTAAAAATAAAATTATAAAAGGTCTAATTAGGAGTTGAAATTCTTTCCCTCTATATCTACCATGATAATAAACTGTATTCCTAATGTGATTGATAACACTAAATTTTAGTTTACATATAGTACCGATTTTCGTTGCCTTACCAAAACAGAAGGAAAGAGTTAGAAGAAGGTGACTTTAAAAAAATAGCAGTAAGGTCTGAAACTAATATATTTAGAACTACCGACAAAAGAACCCAGTGTGACTGGCCAATAACAGAAAATCCGAAAGATGGAGATATATGTTGTTGACTTCCCATTGTTTTTATATGACCCTTCACTGAATCCAACTCAGATGGAGTGAAGATGAGTTTTACAAGATTTCCTACCTCCTCTAAATAACCAAGTGCTTAGATATAATAATCCCGGTAAGTAATCTCAGCAACCGAGTTGGTAGGCCAAATCAAGCTGAAAAACGATTAGATGGGTCTTTTAGCATCCCGGCACATAAAATGGTGACCAACTTCAGAACTAGCATTTCTATGAGTTCTACTGGACATAAAAATATTACGACAGAATGGTCTCTTAGATATTAAATCAAATAGGCGAAGGTTGAGAATGAACTCAGTGATGAATCAACCAAGCATTCAGTCCAGTAGTGGGTGACGAAAGAAAAATACAATACGTTACACCAGACAAATGTTTAAACTCATCGATGGAAATGGCATTAGGAATTCAGGTATTAGCTAGACCGTTTTGGAGGAAGATAGAGCAATTATCCATTCTCAATCCAAGGAACTTAAAGGATTGATAAGACATTAAGGAATAGCCGAACTATGTGTTACATGCTATCTGGAAACGACCTAAATAGGGATTCGACACAAGTTTACAACTCTTAGTGAAGACAGAGACCATATCTAACTTGAATTCAGGAAATGCAGCAGAATCTGATACACTGACTCCATTTGTCTTTGAGAATGTCGGTCCAGTTTTAGTAGTATAGCCAGAGCTTGAGAGAATCTCGGACAATAAGTCTAAGGATCGAACTCCTTTCCACCTACTTCCGTTTGGACAGCCTAGTAATATCACCAGCTCTCACACAGTGTGGCTTATACATAAGTACTGGTGAATGAGTTAATTAAATCTCTGACAGTCCTAGTTTTTAAGAAAGGATTAAAATTCACTTATGACAATGATAGAGGAAATCCATTTGACTAATACGGTGCCTAAAATATCAGCTTCTATAATTATCTAATGCTTGGGAAAACCAATCTGTTCTCTGTCCTGGACGTGGATTTACTGATCAAATATTCAGCCTTCCTCAGCTTCTAGAATACAAGGATACTTACCGGCTTACAACTACGATTGTATTTTTGACCCTAAGACGGAATTCGACTTCGTTAACTAAGAGGTTTTGTGACAGTGTTGTCATTAAAAAGTGTACCAAAGAAATATATCATTCTTGTAAAGGCTCTCTACTCTAACACTATTGGTTAAAATTTAACCTATGGAAAACTATCATCAGAATTGATAATATAAAGTGACATTCTCCAGGACAGTCCTCTAGCACTCTTTATTTGATTCGAACATAGATGTCCTCATAGAAGGATTAATTTCTTCTCTACTGATACGGATATCAGCAGAATAAGGCTCCAACGAGTACGGAACTAAAACGAAAATTTCTCCCTCGACTCTAGCTGAAGTTCAGAAAGATATAACTAATCTAAAACAAGAAAGAGCAGCCAATCCAGATGGATTGGCTTTAGAGGGTTTTAAGGATGGTGGTCTAGTTTGAGTTATTAGGTTAACTAACATTTTTACTGAAATCTGGGAGTTGGACGTAATCTCATCTGACTGATCGCAATCAATAATTTCCCCAATATATAAGGGTCAAAATCATCCTGTGATAACCATAGAGGGATTAATTTGACTAACATAACATCTAAAATAATAGCATTAGTAATTTTCCGGTGCCTAACAAAGATTCGTGAACTGCAAACATGAGAAAAACACACTGGCTTCAGACGTGGCCGTGGCTGCATCGACCACATATTCCCAATTCGTCAGTTTTTAGAACACAGACGTGCTTATCGGCGTCCGACAATGGTGGTCTTTCTTGACTTAATAACGGCATTTGACTCTGTAGACCAGAAGGTTCTGTGGCAGTGCATCATTGAAAGGTGTACTTCAGAACTATATAAACCTTGTGAAGTCTCGTTATTTGAACACTACCAGTCGAATCAGAGCTTATGGCGAACTGTCATCTGATTTTGCAGCCTCAAGTGGTGTCCGTCAAGGCTATCCACTATCTACCTTTTCGTTCAACTTCATCAAAGAACTACAGATGGAAATAATGTCCTCGTTGACTGGATTTTAGGGCACCGATCTTCTACCAGAGGTCCACTTATCGACTTAGAATACACAGATGACATAGTCCTGTTTGGTGAGAACGCTGACACAATGCAGTCTTTTGGTAGCACTGAGCAACAGTGCCAGGATGTTTGGGATGCGCTGCTCTCCCTCTAAATACAAGCTGTTGCTTCAGAACTGGTCTACGTCAACACTTGGACTAAGAATAGGGAGTGAAGTAGTAGGACGCGTCGACGACTTCACTTATCTCGGATATTTGGTCATCCCTAAGAGGTTGGTGTCTGACAAAATCTCTGCACCTATCCAGAATGCTCGTCTGGCTTTCGTGAACCAAGGTCACCTACGGCGAGGGCGAGATATCCGTCTATCAATTAAGGAACGAGTAAAATGAGTAGCGGCCCGTTCTGTTCCACTTTACGGCTGCGAAACGTGGACATTAAGAGTACAAGATACTTGTTAGCTACTAGTATTTGACAACAGATGTCTTAGAAATATTGCACGCATCTACTGGGATCACTGGGTAAGTAATAGTGAGGTTAGACGCAAAGTATTAGGGAATGATGGTAAATCAGTTGATGAGGTTGTGAATCTTCATCGACTGAGATGGTTGGGCTATGTGTTATGTATGCCTGAACACCGATTACCACGACGCGCAATGCTAACTGGTGTTGGGGATGGTTGGGAGAAATTTAAGGGCGGCCAAACCAAAACGTGGCATCAGTCATTAAAGTCACTAACTTCTAGTCTGAGCCATGTTGTTAGATGCAGACTAATTGGTTGATGTCTGCACGACTATCGTAACTGATGGTTAGAGACTGTAGGTGACATGGCTCAGAATCGATCACAATGACGAAGGTGTATACACACTCTGTCTTCCCCTGAACTATGAGATTAGAATTATTTCATACCTTTCTCTCTACGAACTAATTCTTCCTTTTTGTACTATATCCTTACATCAGATCTTTCCTTTATTTATTACGCCATTGAGTTAACTGCATCTTTGAATCCGGTGTTCGTCTTGCTGTGCTAATGTGGTATGGCAACTTGGACCAATTTAAGTATGTGCCTGGTCCTACGTTGTAACTGACTGACCAACCAATATGCTAAGTTCTCTGACGTTCATTGGTTGATTCAAATCTTTGCTATCTCCAACCTACACAATCAGAATATATGAAAGCTAGTCGACCTTCCTTGCAGTACTATGAATCATGATACTTTGCATCGATGATGGTGCAATAAGCATTTTTTCCTCATTACCCATACAGTTCTTTCACATGTTCTCAACCATTTAGTTCGACATTATTATTGTTTATCTAATGAATATGTGATTAGATCGTTCAAAGATATGTTGTGCTAATAAACATTATATTCTTCTGCTGAAATCCATCTTCTCATTCCACCACTTGAACAATTAAATTCACTTTTTGCAATCAACGAGCAAAACCATTCTACGTTTCAGTGATCACGTGTTAAAGAAATTCCTCACCACGAAATGACATCAACCGCAGAACTGTTGAAAACTAAGAAGTACTCGATAGCTAATTTTTCTACGTTTTTGGACAGTCAAATAGTCAAATGCAGTGTAAGACCTGATCCATATATGTACACACGACTCCAGACGTTCAATTTTAACGAGATAAGATTAACAAGATGAAAAGTAAAAGACTGTAATCTCATTTGTAGTGGATGTGAGTAGTACTTGTTTCAACCAACTTAATCGGTGACTTAAAAAATTATTAGCTAGTTTACAATCCACAGATATACTCTCTGTATCAATTTATTATATACGAGTAATGCCTCGAAGATACTCATAATCAAGAAATTACAACTTACACAACTCTTGTTTTCATGTAATGTATTTCACAACAAACTCCTGAGCAGTATATCCAGTTTTTGACAAGCATACAGGCGATAACAGTTCAATAATTTGATTCTTTATTAAATGAGTGTGAAGTCAGTAACTTCTCGTCTGAGCTATGTTGGTAGATGCAGACTAATTGGTTGGGGTCTGCACGACTATCGCAACCAATCGTTGGAGATTCTGGGTGACATGGCTCAGAATCGATCACAACGACATAGGTGTATACACTCTTTGTATCCCATTAAACCGTGAGATTACAATAACAATATACCTTTCTTTCTAATTCTTTTTTCCTGTATTAAACACTTATACACAATCTTTCTTACATATAATACTACCGTTGCAGTAACTACTTTTCTGAATTTGATGATCATCTTGTTGTGCTAATGAGGTATAGCAACTTGGACTGATGCATATAGGTGCCTAGTAATACGTTGTAGCTGACTGAATGACTGTCTGACAAATCCCGTTTTAGAAACGTAATAATTAAACATGTGTTACAAGTGTACGGATGGGATTTCGATTGCTCAAGTATGACATAAGTGTACACAAATAACAACACAGACGAATTCAGATAAAAGTCAAATCAATACTAACAGGCTATTAATGCGAATCGACTACAAAACGGTATTCTCCTTTCATAACAAGTCCTCGAAAATGAGGAAAATGATGAAAAGTAAAACTTGGAGCTAATCTCAATGGCACTGACCAACACATAAACAATTTAACAATCAGCTACACAACTTTGGTCGATCAACCACAGTCGATCATACACAGTCTATTATCAATATTATAAGTGACTAGTCAAAGTAATATGTTACTAGTTACTTAGCTACTTAGCAAATTTTACTGGTCAGTCATATTTAATGATTATTAATTAAGTTAAGAGAAAAAAATCTCAGTGGTCTAAGAAATCGATTTTTAAAAGGAACACATCCAATGTTTGAAGCAGTTCTCTTTGTTAACAATACTTGAGTAGCCAAGGGGTCAGTAACTCTTACAGCACAAGAGATGTAACTCATAGCCTAATTAGATGAAGCTGTATGTGATAACAGAACCGGATTGACTACAGATTATCTTGACGAAGCTAACGTGGAAAGAATTCAAAGTTTGGAGAGATGACAGAATTGAATGGTTGAACTGATCAATAGCAAATCAATAACACCAGAGTTAGACAAATACTCATATGCACTAATAGAATTTAACGTCAATTAATTATTTATTTACATGTAATAATCGGTACATCACTTTAATTATTCTTTTAGTTTTTTTTTCTTTTTGTTCTTCATACACTTAGTTGTGTTCTCCTCAGATATGTTATGTTTTCGTTTTTTGCTGATGTTAATACCGTTTGTCAAATTATTATAATTAATAGGCAAGTCAATAAATTTCTTGGCCCATACAGACAATAAATTTACTAATGAACAATCATTATATACAAGAGGTAGATCAGATGGTTTACTACAAACTAAATCAGTAAGTTGACCGCCGTTTGCATGTTGAGTTAAACCATCCAACAAATCGGAATTGAATATTGATTGGACTAATGTAACTCGATCTTTTGAATTGATTGTTTGGATGAAATGTGGACGCCATCGTAGAGCTATCCAATTTCCGCCATGACGATCCCAACGGATTTCAAAAAACCTGCCTAGACGTAACTTGACGAGGCAAACAAATAGTATAAAACATGATCGAAAACATTGGACATTCAGCGTCAAAATAATCGTATTTTCTTAAAATACCGAATTATGTTGAAAGATAAAATACTTTGTAAGTTCGTTTTACTAGCAAATAATCATACACAACAGTTTAAGATACTAGAACCCAAATAGGAATAGAAATCGAAGGAGTTGCTGAACTGATTAGGTTTTTACTATCCTGCTCTTAATATTAAGGAAAGAAAAGGATCAGTTTCTTTTGGCATATGTGGATACTGAGCAGACTGTGATATCATGGGCAAGAGCTAAGTCTAATAGTTACGTTTCAATTCATTGGAAAGTAAGCGGCCTACAAAGTTGATGTTGACCAACGATTCTTGACATTTGATTATCTTAATTTTTTTCAGACAAAAAGCTTATTCTTCCAGTTAGTAATTGTCTTTGATATTGTTTCATTCGGGGGTTTCAATCAGCAACATGGTCTCATAAGCAGTCATTACTTGACCACTTTGAATAAATGTTTTATTTACCAATCTGCAATCCGCTCACTCAATGTAACAAATTAAAACCCGATCATAAAATTATAAAATCCTCCTTGATAACAGATTGCTTCAACATTACTTCGTAGACATAATTTATTAATATATTAAGATTGTGGCTAACGATGGAAATCAGAATTCCCTTCCCATTCCATACGGGATGTACCTGCACCTTGATATTGACGACATTCACGCTAGAGGCTCGAACTCAGTACACACCACTTTAAACATTTAAGTTACCACTAAGATTTTCAGTCTAACTTTGTCATTGACGTACTTTTAGAGATAACACTCTCCTCATCTAAATATACAGGGGTTGAACTCCTACCAGGAGGTTCACTTGTTGACTTAGAATATGCTGATGACATAGTTTTATTTGGTGAAGACGCTGATAAAATGCAGAGTCTTCTGACCACTCTAAGCAACAATGCAAGCATGTTCGGGATGCGATTCTCTCACTCGAAATGCAAAATGTTGCTTCAGGATTGGGTTACATCGACACCCGAACTAGTGATAGGGAGTGAAGTAGTTGAGTGTGTCGACCGCTTCACTTATCTTGGAAGTCTCATCAGCCCTTGTGGTTTAGTGTGTGACGAAATCTCAGCATGGATACAGAAGGCTCGACTAGCTTTTGCCAACTTGCATCATTTATGGCGTAGGCGAGATATCCGTCTATCAACCAAAGGACGAGTTTACTGCGCAGCAGTTCGTTCCGTCCTACTTTATGGCAGTGAAACATGGCCGGTAAGAGTAGAGGATATCCGTAGACTACTAGTATTTGATCATAGGTGTCTTCGAAACATTGCTCGTATATCATGGGACCATCGAGTAAGTAACACAGTTGTTAGGAAACGGGTACTAGGTAAGGATGGCAAATCAATTGATGAAGTAGTGAAACTTCATCAGTTGAGATGGCTGGGACACGTGTTACGTATGCCCAACGACCGACTGCCTCGACGTGCTATGTTCAGTGGTATAGGAGTAGGTCGGAAGAAAGCTAGGGGCGGCCAAACCAAAACATGGCACAAGTTCATGAAATCACTGACAAGTGAACTGAGTCATGTTGGTAGGTGTAGACTACCTGGTTGGGGACCGCGAGATGACAGCAACCGATGGTTAGAGACCCTGAATGACATGGCTCAAAATCGTTTGCAATGGCGCAGGTGCATCCACTCTCTGTGTTCTCCCAAATTCTAATCTTCTGAATTCTTCATGTCCCTTTCTTCCTCTTTCCAAATTTTTTTCACTGTATTATACTCTTTAAATAACATCTCCAAACCCTAATCTTCCCGATTACTGCTTATACTCTTATTACCTCTACCACTACGGGATTTGAATCGACAAGTGCATCTCTGTGCTAATGTGGTGTGGCAACTCGAACTTCGTACGTACGTACGAAGTTCTACGTTGTTACTGACTGACTGACCAAGTGGCTAGTAACTTATTCGCTTAGTATGAAGTTATTTGTGAGGGCTTGTAATTCCCCAGTACTTATTGCTTCAGTGTTAACACAAACCTTAAGATACAGCTACATCCAGATGACGATTCTCGGATAAGAGGAAACCCATGTTCTGGATTCCACTGCTAGCCACAATCCAAATATACTAAAAGGTGATTAATTTCTTAAGTGAAAGTGATTACATTATTAAGTGCATGAATTGTAGTGTTGTAAATCTGTTACTACAAACTAATTGTGTAACGTTGAATCTGAATTTTTCTATACAGTAGTTTTGCAATTTAACAGAGATGAATATCAATGAAAATAACGCTAATTTCTAACCAGGATTATAGGTAAACAAGTGACCACTTCTAATCGATAAGCTATATTATTTTACCTCTAGGCTTACAGAAAGACGATGGCGTATCCGATTCAAATGTCAAGCTTTTTGAACACTACTTGATGAAAACCAGTCAAAAGAACAAAACATTAAAAAGCAAATACACAAAGATCAAACCTGGATTGTCCGTCACTAATTACCGATTTCTATATATTGTGAACCATAACTATTAAACATGCAGTTCCCTTAAATAAAATAGATGAACTCTTAGTGACTTTATGCATGAATACTATTTGTAAGAATATCTCAAAAGACTTTTCTAAATAACGGAAAATAGTATGATAAAGTATACGACAGGTGTGTGTGAACACCGCGCAACTTAATTAGTTCAGTTTTGAAAGTTTCGAACTTACATTTAATGATGCATCAACCTCAAAAAATCTACATCATGAATTTTAACATACACATGAGAAATACTGTGAAACTGTAGATAATCAGACTCAAGTGATAATCAGTTGACACGATCAAATATTACGGTTAGTACAAATGTTGTTGCCTAAATTCCTATTGACTAAAAAATCTAATAATGATGGCAAAGATTTTCAGCAAATTCATAGAACAAATTAGAATAAGCCCGATTTTTGGTCCTTAGACGTTGAGAACAGTACGCTCAACCCAGTGGTTAGAATCCTAGACCACAATAAACTAACAGCATACGCAAAGCGACGTAGCTACACTTCGTGTGCCACTGCTACCACAAAACTGTAGACTTACTCCATCCAGATTCCAAATCTTTACTAAAGTGTCCTTAGATTATGTATAAATCCATGTTTCAGAGAAAAAGACTGACAATTAGGAAACTCCGACACTTCAAAACAAGGAACATTCATCAACCGGGTTTTCGCTTGTTATCGAACTTAAGACCTAATGGATTACTGACGATGAGATGTTTAACGCTTTTAACAAATAATTCACTGCTAATAACTCAGCATTTTTAAACTTTACTAGTTTGAAATGACAGAATTTAGACAACGTTAACTAAATAACAAGTCAAATCAAGTAATAACATTATTGCTTACTCGCAATAATTTGACAAACCAATTCAGTGGATCATAACAGTATCTTTGTGGCCAATAACGGGCTCCAGGATCTGGGAATTCCATAGGTACGTCACTATCATTATTAGTTTCAGGAACAGCAAGCTGCGTTTTTTTCAACGCTCCATGTAACGATTCTGACTGACGAATATTTACAATATTTGCTTTGACATTGAGTACTATATCAGTTTTACTAAAGACCGGACGAAAAATGACCTGGATCAATAAGAAATTAAATTCAGTCAATGATTTGAACTTGCAGTCATCTTGAAAATTACCATACATTACAAGTTTGTGTTTGATTCCTTGGAGTGAATCCTGCATTGTGGTTAAAAAGTGTTGTTTGGCAACTTTAACTTACTATTCAAGTCCTACAAAGTAGGACTTGCATCATAATACGGTGCCCAGATCAACTACCGGACGCATACTGTAAACATATATCCCTGAACATCTGAAACTACCGAATAACTACTAATGCACAACATAAGTCAATCACTCGTACTTTATTGATTCACCTTTCTAGATCAGCTGGCGTTATGTAACATACCCCAGTGAACGTCGATTTACGGAAAAACACTTTGCAATCTAGTTGTCCCAGTAAACACAGATAATTAGCACATACAGTGCGAGGCTTTTGTGTTGTTGGAGCTATACGAGGGCTGCCCATTTTGATCCAAAATTTCCATGAATGTGAATGTCTGATGTAGTATATATTTGCACTTCAAATGGATGCCCATTAATATTAAGGGTAATAAATTTTATTTCACCTGGGGTTGAGCTTTGACAGGATGCTAATAGGCTCAACGAATTTGTGTAGGATATGGAAAAAGGATTTCTAGTACTTATGGACCGATTTAGTTTCCTCTTTTGATAAAATCCATCTTTTTAGCCAACAGATTTACATTTTCCGCAACGATGTTGTTTAAACGGACAGGCTCGTACATAATGCCTTGAACCACAGTGCCAACAGGGAGCAGGATGATTAGTCTTTGTCCGTTGGACTGAGCTCAGGTGAGATGGGATAGAAATAGCAGGGGCAGATTTGACTGTATTGGATAATTGTTGAACTACATGAATTTCCGAGCGATCGGAACCACCACATTGAACCATTGTAGTGTCGCGTTGCAGATTAATTAAACGTTGATATTGATTTGTAATATCAGTAAGAGTTAGTTTGGGGTGTTGATCCAATCGGCACAGTAACCGTGTTCTAATATCACTGAAGTTTTAAGATTAGAGACTACAGATGAGGATGAGGGCTTTAAACTGGTCTTCAGTCAGTAACTTCAGTCCGAAGCGTTCAAACTCGCGGTTGACGATGCCCATATGCGTAAGAAAATCAGTTTCTCCATTCATAACCAGCTTCAATCATAGATAACATGTGTTGGACAATGAGGAGTTATCTGCAAACTGTTGGCTTAATGACTGGACGGTATAGGAGAATGAGTGGTCACGTAGATTCAGAGGCGAAATCAAAATACAGTCATAAGTCGTTTACCAAATGATTTCTGGGGATCTAGCATCCCCAAAAATCTACAACCTGATAATTAATAATCAAAGTCCCAAATTACTGAGCACAGACCACCATTCGGTTGACTTATCGCCAATTTCGTCGAAATCGAAACCAACAAAGAACACTGGAATCATTCACTATGATCGTTATCAAAACATAAAATAATAATAATAGGTTACTACTTACCAGTAGATCATTAATCGGAGCATTACTAACAAGCATAGCTCTTAGTAAATCACGTGACTGACTCGCTAGCAATTTCAAATCACTTAGACCTCCTCGACTTGGTCCTACTTCAGTCCATTCTGTTCCAGTTGTGTCAAGTGGAGTACATATGATTAAAGCGGGTAAATTACATCGAGGTGTACGATTAAATAAATCCAGAGCGAGTTGACGTTTGTTGATATCCACTTGGGAGATAAAAGATTGAAAAAAAGAAACACACTAATTAAAGAAAAGTGAAAACGCAGTGAAAAACAACTTAAAAAACGGGGATAAAACAGGTGACAAAATTTTACATTATAAGAGTTATGCTACAATGAATCTGGCCATCACAATACGGTATCGATCCGAATTTACTAGTTTGTCAGAAGCATTGACTACTCAATACTAAACTACCAGTGCATGTAAGACATGAAGTGTGAGAAGTAGTAGATCTGAATAATATTAAAAGCTACATATTTTTAAGTGCTACAACTGATGCCCCAAAATGCCCTGGTATGGCCGAGAGTGAGGTGGGCCCGCCCTCCCTCTCGAAATGCTCTCACACGGCCACGCGTACACAGCCTCTGCCAGGGAATTCCTACTCATAGCCTTTTCGGGGTGGGGGTTTTGTTTACGAAAATTAGAGGACGAAAAGCGAATGTCCGGTGCTTTAACCGGATCCCAAACCGATGGTGCACATGGGCTCAGTATCCTGTGGGAACAAATGGCGTATGAACCAATCGTTGGTCACCGGCTATCATGGGACTGCATCTCCTCACGATGCTCCACTGCCTTGTGGTTCAGACCTTTAGGTTCAAGGCTCGGGGTGTGGCCCCCTAAGTAAACCACCTGATTCGGTTTGGGCACCCGGGCAGTATCCCAGCCCTCACACAAATCGAATGATTTATGTGGCGCATATCTATTTGGTGCCTCCTTGTACCAATGTTTGTGTGTTTAAATAAATAACTTTATGTGCTATAACTGATAAATTTCCTTTAAAAAAGTAAAGGAACAACTTATTGAATTATTAAATAAAATAAAGAGTTTTCAACGAAAAGGATTTTATTTTCGACGATATCACTTACTATAGGCCCACACACTCATTTGGAGTTACTTTCTAAATAGAGTGGTCCATAATAAAAATAGAGAATTATTGAGTTGCTAGCAAAAGTACCAAAAGTTAGTCAGAATTTAAAGTTAGGTAGTACCCAAATGGTAGTCAAAATGAAATAAAATATGAAAGATTAAGAAATGGTATCATCGAAAAGGAACTTCTCGCTGAAACATCTTATTCGAAGACATAATTTACAGTTTTAACTTGGCGTCTACTTTATGACTGATTAAATAACAAAAAAGACGAATTCTAGTAATTTTGGAGATAAGTGGCTTAGAATGAGACCTATCTGATGTCGAAAAACGTAAACAATTGGATTAGAGTGCAAAGGCTCAATATGAAACACTATAGTCAATTCCCAGACATCCGAAGACTACAACAGTACAAACTGATAATGTTTGAATTGGGATCGATTTATGTGGTCGTGACCTAGATTATGAATCTAAACATATTGCTACATACCACCGTTTGGACAGCAGAATTTTGTTATGAACCGTGATAAAACCTTGTGGATATCATCCATTAGATAATGTAATACAGTTGGTTTTGTAAAAACAGTAAACAAATTATTCTTTTTGTAAGACAGGAGAACTGTTTGTAATATCAAACAGTACATACATTTTTAACTATGGGAAGCTGACTACCTTTATGCTAAAACTCCGAAGATTAAGAAGGAAAAGCATGAAAAAAATGCAGTGAAAACCAACCAGAAAATCCTTCATTTAAATCAACTAGAAGTGGAGCGTTTTCCCAATCATAAGTAGCCAATAAATCAAGAAATCGTAGGAATGCAGCAACAGGTGATCCGATCGAAGTAAGATTAGCTTCCTTCGACTCGGAATCAACAGAATCACATAGCTTCGAAGCATAAAGAACTAATAATTCAACAGCCACTTCAGTCATACGTCCATCATTGGTACTTGTATTAAAATCTTTTAACCACCAAGTAGATAGTGCAGACGAACATTGTTCAGATTGTGGAAAAAAATCTGATGAATTATGTAGACCATCTAGTTCCGCTTCATATGGACATAGAATCACTGGATACCCTTGAGCTGATAACCAACGTTTAGCTAATCGACATGCTATAGGAAACACATGTGCATAAGTACGTGAAACACCACTAAGTGTACCAGCTAATGTTGGTAAACTTTGATTCAGACGAATCCAACAAGCAGCTTCGGAATTTATTTCAATAGATAATGAACTACCATCACCAGTCTCCGAAAGTGTTTTATTTTTATTATCTGTTTTGATTTCAGAATTACTTAATTTCTGAATTAAATTAAGTTCTTTTGATTGTGAAATTACGATTCGGAACACTAGTCCTTGCTAAAAATAAACAAATAGAAAATTTTATTTGTCATGAAATTGTTACGAAGTCTATGCTACGTTTAAAGAGTAATCTAAAGCGATAAATATTTATATATGTGGAAAATTATGTACGCATCAAATAAAAACCAGGTATACAAAATACTTTCTGTTGAATCTAGTAAACATGAAGCTATAGTTACTTTGAAAGTAGTTTTCATTATAGAACAAGTAGAGAGTAAATGAAAAGATGACACAGCTGAAAAATAAATCTGTGTGGAGATTTGTAGCTCAGGTATATGATTTTGGTGGAGTTTTCTTCCCTGAGCAGGATGGTTTTGTCATGGAGCTTTCATTGTTATGCTGAACGACATCAACACCTACAATCTGATTAACGTCTTTGATAATGGAACAGGAGTCAAACAACAAAATACCGTTCTTGAATGTATTAATTACCAGAACCGACACAGAAAAACTGGAAACTCAAGTATATTGGAAGCCAACACACACAGATCAAATTCTCAATTACAGTAGCAATAACCCAAGAGATCACAAAATCAACTGAGTACAAACTTTGTTCAAGAGGGTGAGAACACACTGCAACACACTTGCAGCGCGGAAAAATGAAGAAATATATCTAAAGACTGACTTTCAAAAGGACGGTTACCCAATCAACTTCATCAAAAAGATGCTGACCAAACGCATCAGCAGAAACAAAACTAAGTAGAGAAACTAACAAACAGATCATCCTATCATATGTAAAAGGCATATCAGAAATTACGAGATTGTTAAAGCCCCTTGGGATAAGTGTAGCACACAAACCAACGAAATCACTCCAATCGATCCTACGCAAACCAAAGAACGAAATGACAAAAGAAGAAAGACCTAACATCCTCTACAAAATAAATTGTTCGAACTGCGTAAAACACTACATCGGATAAAGTGAACTGGGAAAATGTTGAGATCTTGGATAGAATCAACTCTAAAAACACCAGGGAATTTTTAGAAGCTTGGCACTCAGTTCAACCAGCCATCAATAAGCACATTAAAATCTATCCAATTTATCAACCAATCAGAAAAATTATGAAGAATCAAATCAACGGGAGATACAATCAAAATAAAAAAGTAAACAATGGCAGGTTAATGGTCAACAATAACCAGTCAAGACCGAAGTCTACAGGACGAACTGTGAGCCATATGTAGAGAAACTCGTGCACTTCACTTCAACCCAAAGTTTGTGCTGATGATGTCGTTCAGAATAACAATGAAAGCTCCATGACCAAACCATCCAGCTCAGAGAACAAAACCAGTGTAGTATTCTTTCAATGAAATGGAAACAACCCAATCGAATTTCTCTTTATTTACTGCTGTTTATGGGTTGTCACATAGTATTATATGACTGTTACACAGAAATTGTGACTTATAGCAGTGTTAGTATGACAGAGCTCCAAGTTATCGATGGTGCTTACCACCACATTTAATTACGCGTATGATGCTTAGGAAATTGCAGAAATCAATTGGACTCTATCACTAAAATAATGAGTGAAGAATGAGTACCTAGTTTATTTTGCATTACAGAGACCGTTGGTTATGAAGTGTTGCCGAGATTACCTTTTTACATAGAAGGATCATGTGGTAAAACTCTTTTAGCCCCGATAAAAATATTTTTCATGGGATGGACTCACTGATTAATGAATTTCATTTCTTGCCGATCCATTAATTAGTACTTACTGATAATGTCTGAATAGATTGTACGACATAGCGACTTTTTTTCAGACTTGATAAGAGCATGGCTTATATTGAAGTCTACAAACAGCTGACTAACTTGCACATGTAAACACATATACAAGAGGAAAAGATTCAAGTCCTCTTGGTTAACATGGTCAGCTTTACCACAGTGAATGGTAATCCTGTCAAAATATAAATTTACTTAAATAATTGTTTAAATTTTATACATGATCCAATAGAATTCAGCTCGTACAAAGCACAGTGTAACCACGTTTTTTACTGTGAGTGGTGAGTATTTTATAAGCTGCAGAGATCATTGAGCTTGGTTTTCCATTTTACTTTTTGAGTCTTCCATTACTTCTCATCGGCATCATCATAGTAGAGACAAATTTGCTTAGATTGTTAACTTTATTCATTAGAAAACGTTCATACTACTCCACACTTTACTTACTAAAAATATATCCAGCATATTATCGACGGTAACATGAGATGGAATTCCTTTAGGTGATAGCAATTCATGCATACGAATCACTAGTAATCGTTTCATATGTCGGAATGCATCTAAGTCGTTTGGCCATCTCCCAGATTGTTCCAAGTGAATTATAACTTAAAAAGGCAAAAAATAAACCGTTATCGATCTAGAATTTCACTAAGCAGTAACAACCAATAATACAACTCAGTAAATGAGTTATAAATTGTGTTAATTACATAATGCCTGATAAACTAAAGTAGGGAGGGTTGAGTTCGAAATCAGTGAATGGTAATTCTTCCTCAACAGGAGTTTCTTGTGACTTTAAGCCCGGCTAATTATCAAGTGATTTATTCGCCAATCGAAATACGACTTATTCAATCGTAGTATTGTACCAAACCAAAGACGTTCGACCGGTATGCGCAGCTTAACATCTTTATTGATCCTTTGTTTTCCTAGCCCTTCCAGGTCAGTCCGGAAGGTCAATCACCGCTTCCACTATGCGAATGATTTATTTCAAACATACTTGGTTTATATATCAGCTAAACGGACTGCATCACATCATAAAATAGGGAATAACATTTATAGAATATCAAGCCAAAAAGTGGCTATGAACATGGGAAACTGTAATCAATAAACCGAACATAACTTAAGAACAGTAAGTTGTACAATAATAATCTACAGGTCAAAACGAAGCTTATAATAAGAGGAATATAAATATACACAATTTAATTACTGAATAGTTATACCATAGGAATATATATATAGAATATTAGTCCATTAATACGTCTCAGAAGTTACCCGTAGTTCAATCTTCACTAAGATATAACAGAATTGATTTAATTAAATTCTACTGAAACTCTACAGACAATTAAATAAAACACTTTCATAAAAAGCTCATAAAAACAAGAACAATCTACAACTGATCCTGACACTGCCGTGGTGGAAAAATAAGATTTGAGCGTGTTATGGGTGAAGTTACGTCCTAACTATGTCCATTCACAAAAATGGTAGGTAACAAAAATAATGATCCTTCGAGTACTTTAATTTGGTTGAATGTAAGTGGGAAATAGCTATTTTAACCTAAAAATAATATATGCAGCAAATCAAGTTGACAGCAAAGCTAGTTATTTACCGATAAACCCTCATCCCTATTTCAGAAAAGATCTCGAACGATTACTTACAGCCTGATTGTGTTTTTATAATATATATAAAATATTCAGTAACCTTGGTTTATCATTTATACGTTTAAGAATTTTCATAATAATGCATTACAACCTGTTACTTCATCCGAATTTTTTTGATAGCCTAAGTGAACATTTATATGCTTTTCATAAACAAAAAAGGATATAATAAGTCTTTCCACGTCAATACCGAAAGTCGGTTGTTATAAAGGGGAAGAAATGAACCCGATTATAATGCTTGAGGTTTATTACTCTGTAAATATGAAATCCGCCCCCAAATGTCCTGGTACAGCTGAGGGTAGGAAGAGTCAACTCTCTCTCGTAATGCTCTCACACGTTCAACCACTGCCAGGGAAGTCCTACTCACTGCCTGCTCGCGGAGGGGATGTTGTTTACGAAATTGAGAGGACAAACAGCGAATGTTCTGTGCTTTAACCAGGTTGGTGGATAAGGAAGATCCATTTAGGGGAGTTGGAAAGCCCTCATTCCAAACCAATGGTGCACATGGGCTCCAGAATCCTGAAGGAACAAATGGCGTATGAACCAATCGTTGATCACCGGCTACTATGAGACTGCATCTCCTTACGTTGCTCTATTACCTTGTGGATCAGACCCTTAGGTCGAAGGCTCCGGGTGTGGCACTCTAAGAAAACCACGTGCTTCGACCTGGGCACCCGAGCAGTATCACAGCTCATACACAAATCAAGTGACCTGTGTGGCGCATATGTATTCGGTGCCCCTTTGTACCAATATTTGTGTCCAAATAAATAAAGAATATGAAGCCCGAATCCAATAATAATTTACACTTTAATGTTTACTCTGTTAAATATTCTGTATATAAGTATGTCATTTCATTGTATATATTCCTGACAAGTTAATCTCTCAATATTTGTTCATTGTGGGCTTGGATCATTTATTCGGATTTGTAGATAATCATCACTTAGCCACAATAAAGTCAAGAGATTTGTAACTCGCAAGTTTTTATCCGTTAGAAGATTGATTAACTAGTCAACAGTCAGATATTGTAATACTCTGACCCCATGAGTTGCTATCATTATATAGAAAGAAACATTTAATATTACCATTTTCCCTTTATTATTCGACAGAATGTAAGATTTCAGTGGACCACTATGTGAATACCCGTAACTTAGTAATTTAGTGTTTTTAGTAGATAAGTGTTAAGACAGCATTTCTATTTCTAGCAGATATAACAACCGTATAAAAAGATATTTCAATTGGTATGTTCAGTGATTTATTATGTTCGTATGACTTGATCGGATATCTAGTGAATAAAAATTAAAATAAGCACAGGACTATGTAGTATTACACAAATTCCTGTTATAAAACTAAATGACGCGAAACTACTCACCATACAATGGGAACACAGGAAAACATGCTTTTTTCAATAACCATTTAACCGTTTGAAAATATGACTTTTTTATCCCGTGATGTGATTGGTTAGCCATAGGAAAAGACAATATAGGAGGGAAAACCGAAGTGTCACGAAAAGCTGACGATAAGGGTAAAATCCCCGTAATATTAAGGGGAAGTTTATCATTTAATCCACGTAGTAATGCTCGGAGTTTATCCATTGCTCTAATCAGACGAAGAGGTGAGGCAGCAACTAAGTTGACTTTTCGGTTGCGTCTATGCAAGCTTATAAATGGATCAAGACGATTAGGCAAAATGTGATACCACGGCTTTGATACGTTAACATTTGAAGATAAATGGAGTTTCCTAGAGCAAACATTTAGATACAATATATAAAACACAAAAAAAAGAAGTTAAATAGATAAAGAATTTATTACATGTAGGTGACTGCTAAAATTTCTAACAATGACAACTATATAAAACAAATTCTAATAATTCAACGACTTGGTAGGTTAGCTTATCAGTTTTGTTTTTAACATTTAAATGTAGTTTCAAACACAAAATAACCCTCGTAGGAGCTTAGGTTGAGTAAGTGTAAAATTTCAATGCTTCAGTTCCATTGAAACACTATAACATGCCAACACCTTTACTTATTGACTACTGCTTTCGCACTAACCACTGTCGTTTAGCCACTCGAAGTCGAGTACATGTCAATGTACTCGATAAATGGATTACATAAAATGCAAACTACGCTTTGGAGAACCGCATGTTATCATTAACCCTCACATCTAGAGTGCATCTTATATTCAAGTACCTGGCGAATAAGTTAATTTACTATTATTCATCTATTTATAATAAAACTAAAGATCAAGCTTTGAATTTAGGACTGAAGAAAGATGGATAAAAACTCGTCCAAATAACAGCATCACAAGCACAAAATTAGACAGAACTGCACTACTAATCTTACACTAGATAGCTGAAAGTAGACAGTGGCCAAATAGGAAGTTGTTTTAGTGAACGCATGAACCAAGATGTGGTCAGTCTAATGCATATACCGTGTATGACTGAATATAGTTCTGTTACAACAGTGAAGTGTTTTATGTTACAGCTTTCTAAACACTTAAATGTTATTTAAGTAGAGTAAGATAAATCGCTCACTAGTGTTTAGGAAACGATAGCGTTACCAGGATTAACAATAAACGACTTAATACAAAAAGCTGCGTGACGTGTGCCAGCCATACCTTATGACTTTCGTAAGCAGACTGATAAGCGAACGAGATTATCGTAATCAGTGTTTGATACTTTGAGTTACATGGCTCAGAATTCACCCCAACAGACCACGTGCATTCAATATCTTCCTTTATAGCACAGGTTTTATAATTACTTCGTACTTTTTATTCGGGTACTTGGAAAGCCTAATGTTCCTTACCATCACTAGTAATATTACACTGAAATTCGTCCCGGTAATCTTATCTTGATGTATTGATATGGTGTAGCAACCCATGTACATGAACGCCAGTCTCTACGTTGCTCATGTCTGGTTGACCTAGTATCCCAATGGGATAAGAAACATTAAGGAAAACTCCGAATAGTTTAGGCCACGGTTGATTTCATTTAACAAATGAAAATGGATTATGGAAGGTGACAACTAGGTGTCAAAGGTTCTTACATATAAAAGCCTGGAAAGCCAGAACGGTTAGAATTAAAAATGGAAGACGACCAGGAAACAAGCATTTAATATTAAATCAATTCGGGAAAAAGCTTGTTCCCATTCTCACCAAGTCTGTGGGACATATTGCGCAGCAAATCTCAAGAATTCTATGCGAACAACCTAACAGCTCTCAGACTAAGTTATTACGAGCCGGAAACTTTTTATCGGAAAACATCAAGAAACTTACTCTTCTAGAATAAAATTGACGATCTGCATGCAGACATTAGAATTACCATTCCATACAACACATTCACATAAATCACCATCAACACGTCGAAGTTCAGACTTTTTGCCCCAAAACTGGCGAAATTCATTACCAGCCGGAGTGTTACTTGGAGGACCTTTGGTGAGGATTGCATGAGTGAGCTGTCCAATATATTTGAGTCCTAGGCCATGGAGGTCTTTCTGAAATTACAAAAATGTTCGGAAGTTACTTTGCCTTTTATGCAAACTCTGATAGGACAAACGAGCGATACACGATCTTTCAAAGCTTCAGTTAAAAGTTGGGATACGAGGTTTAGCGTATTTTCGCTTGCTTGGGATCCTGAATCATACCCCTGAACTTCCTTTTTGAGTTTTAACTCGATATAATCAATTTTTCGGAATCTGAAAAAGTAAGAACTGATAATAGGAAACGTACATCACCAAATGGTCATAAAAATAGACGCAATCCATGTTGCAAACCTGTACAACACAACTGTTAGATATATCACTATATCTAAATGTACGGACGTATAGTAATCAGACTCAAGCAGCAAAAGTTCAGTGTTGATAATATGTATATTGTGTATTGGCAAAACAAGAAAACAATTAAATCATGCGGATGGTGGTGTCCGAAGGTCACGCCGTTTTGAAACGCATAATTTTGAAAGCCAATAAAAATTTAGGAGTAATTTTCTCGCTGTATTAACAGGTTCAAAGAATTCTTCAGTACTATTTGTTTCAATCACTGTTGAACTTTAGAACATTTTGTGTATTAATCGCAACACTGAGATTCTTGATGCCTTGTCTTAATCTCTGTTTATGTTTGACTTTTTCTATCATCCTACTGAATTTTAAGTCATACAATTCTGAATTTCCTAGAGTCGCACAACATATTGCCTACCATTGATGCTATCTTAAGAACTTTGTTGACTGGTGTTGCAAAAATGACCTGGGGATAAGCTTGACGTTTTCAGGTCATCTAGGTATATCTTAGTCATTAATTATGCTTGCGTTTTCATTTATTTATTCATTCAATTTCTCAGACCTTGAAATAACTTTTATAATGGGATTATCTGAAGGCATGTCTTTTGGCATGTTGTGGTTTTTCTTCCATCACAATTTACTGCCCAGCACTAGTAACGTCCGTACGATGATGGAGTGGAATTTTCGCCGAAGTAACATTTACATTTCTTATGTGGGTAAATAAAGCGATAGGTCGATAGACGTGCCCCTCACCACAGTTATAATGGTATAAAAGATAATGCCCCACCTCACTTGGGTCGATCGCCAGGTATAAAGTCCAAAACGAGAGTACACTTTGTTCTCACTCATTTCGTACTTGTTGTGAATCAACTTTGCTTTCCATATATTCATTGCGTCGAAACCATGCTTCATCAACTGCTTCTTGAATTACTTCCGCCAAAGTTCAGAATTTTCCTTAAATCCGTTTTGTGGCACTCTTTATCTGTTCAATTATTACACTGGTGGTCATCTTGTTTATTTTGTCGACTTTTTCCCTATAAGTTTTCTTGAAATAGTTGGCTATTTTCACAAGTGGGGACAATAAAACTACTTCCTTCCTCTGGAGCGAGGAACGCAATATGATGAGTTCAAAAAGTGGTCCCACAAGATACGCAACTGTTTAAATCCCAAAATACATTCGAAACCTGCATTTCACTGAATTCGCATATTTCGCCTTTCGACTAGAAAATTGCTGACCCAAGAGATAATTAGCATTCTAACGTTGGCCAGCAATATAGATGATGAGGGCTGTACTGGTGACATTAGCAGTGACAATGAAGGATTTGTCAGAGTAGTAAGTGCTGTTTTAAGACGAGCCAACCACTCGAGTGCGCAACATACAAAAGAGAAGTCTCTTTCGAAACTAATAAAGCGAGAAATACCACTGGATATTGGTGGCCACAATCCTAAAGTAGTACTTGAAGGCCAAGAAAACACCGTCATCATCCCCAGATGTACCAACTATGTATTCCTGTCTGGATGGAAATGGACACAAAGAAAAGTGAATAACCACAAACAGCGTCCATTTGGTTGATAAACCTTTGGCAGACTCAATCTGGGTCACTGAATACTGCGATAAAGCCCCAAAGTAAGATGAGGCTTAACCAAGCCGCGGTTGGAAAAAGATTGTTGTCATCGAGCGTTACTCTGGGAAAGATATCCGGACCAAACGACGTTCTTCCAAGAAAGCCCCAGGTTTCAACACCTTACAGTAGAACTGTCTTAACGTTTGCATTGGAAATTTCAACTTTGAAGTTGGCTGGTAGTCCGTTTGAGTTCCATGTGTTCCTGCTGTTGCTTTGCCAATCCGTGCCCTTACATCTAAATCAGATTCTGCTTCTTTATCGAGCATTGTGCCCAGGTACGTGAAAGATTCCACAACTTCCAGAGTATCTCCATTTGATGTGATTGAGTTGGTGTTCTCCGTGTTTTTTTATAATCTTGCTATTCCCCTTGTGCACGTTAAGGCCTACTGATGCAGAGGCTTCTGCTACACTGGCTGTCCTAGCCGGTGTTTATGGGATAGAGGTTTGAATCATCTAGCTGCATGCAAGCTGTCCATTGTAGACCAGGTTTACCCTGGAGTACAGGGGTCTTCACAACCCAGTCAAGCACGAGATGCCTTGCCTGACACCGGTCCTTGTTTGAACAATATCTGTAGGTTTCCCTTCATGCTTGAATTTGCTGTACGGTTCTCCTTATAAGATTCGTATGATGTCAACAGTCTTCTCAGGTACTCCGTAGCGTTAAAGAAGGTTCCTTCCGGAATCTGACCAGTTAATCTCGAAGTTGGGCGTCCACTAAATCTTTCAGTTGGTACAACAACACTCTGTCAAAAGCTTACTTGCACTGATAGTATTATGATGTTTCTGTAGTTCTCAGTTTCTGTGATCCCCTTTCACTGGTATGTCCAATAGGTATCCCTTTTATCAATCCGCCGGCGCTTGTTCTTCTCCCCCAGATCTTTCTGAATAGAATTCAGAACGACTTCGAGTTTACCTTTATGACTGACTTCAGTGATATTTACGGCGAGTTGTCTGTCCTTGTTGTTTTCCCGTCCTTGATTTGTCTGATGAGCATGTTGATTTCATCAATTGTTCACCAAGCAACATCCGAGTTAGCATGCCATAGGTTGTCTTAGTAGAATGGCTAACCCAGCATAAAATTGGAAACATGAGTCTGAATGGTGAGCTGGTTACTCTCTTCCGAAAGTGTTCTATCTGGTTTGCGTTGGGTTAAATGTTATATAAAAAATACAATCGACTGTAGGTTTCTACTCATTTGTTGCTGCTGTATTGCTCTAACGGCAATATCAGATGCATGTTTTGGGTATTAAAAGTTCATAGTTGAATCAATGCAAGAGTAATGCCTGAATGCTTAAGAGATTTTCAGAATTTTCAAACGAGTGAATGGCATCGAGGAATAAACTTAGTTTACGTCAGTGACTGCATAGACAATCAAATGGAGACCACAGTATAAAGCGATCATTAATAATTGATTCTCAAGTAATAATATGCTACGTGAGTTATACCAGTTTGCAGGCAAGGTAAACGTATTACAAATTCTATTGGCTTTCATTAAATGAGTTAATATATTATGTTGATATGCTTTAAAACACAGTTTCCACAGAAACAGAGGATAAATATTCACAAACTAAAATAATAATTTTCAACATAAGAGCTGGTGCACTTTACGAAAGTCACGTTGAAACAAGCAATTTGTTGTCGAGGACTAGCGCAAGTAAAGTTCAGAGCTGTTCATAACAAGAGTTTAGGTGGTAAGTGCATAACTAGTCAGTCAGAAATGTTAAACTTGACGTGCGGTATTGTGCTTCTTGGTAGTGTTTCCAGATAAATATTGAAGGCATTGATGATGATGAATAAAGAAGTTACGTGTTCGATACCTGTCTTCCGTAGTTTACCGTGAGGATGCTAAAAAATGAGAGAGAAAAAGAAAAAAGCTATAAGTAGAACAGACAATGTTCATGACTAGCAAAGTTTAGTCATCTGTGACGGAATAATTCAGGGATGACCACTTGGACTTATCGTTTTCTATTAAGTCGATTTCTTAGCAAATATATTTCAACATGTTAACGAAAACAAACCAGGGTATGGTGTCGAGTGAACAAAGGTCTGTACCAACGATGGTGATTCAAAAGTGCTGAAAGTTTAGTATTACTTATATTTTATAAATTTACGAAAACATAGAGTTCGAATATTAACTGTTTTTCGTGGAATTTGTTATAGCTCGTCTTCATTGTTGTCGTTTTTGTAGAACCAAGAGTGGACTCCCATTTAGCATAATTGTCCAGGTTTACTTGCAATAGGATCTCTTTGTAGGAAGTGAAACCAGGTCAAAGTTACAGGGATGAATCAAATAGTGTTCGGCGTAACAAATTAGTGCTAACTTCATTGGCTAGTTACATCGCTAGACCATAAGTGGCCATGATTTAACCGAATGTCCTGCCCTACTGACAAGAGTGGATTGAAGTTATCTACCCAACATAATGTTTGCTGGTCAATAACGGCGTCCTCCTCCCCTTTATTTTGTGTAGTATGGAGTTGAGTCGCGGTTGACTATGAAGACCACTACAAGAAGACTACGTACCAGTTAACCGATAAAATCCCCCGTAAACCAAACATCAGAAGGCAGTTGATGGCTGTAGTCAAGATGTATTGGCTGGCGATCTCGTGGTATAGAAAGGATACTGAGATCGTACCAAAGGAGTACAAGTGTGTTTACCGAGCGTAACCGAATCCGTGCAAGGCCACAATCAATGCAATAGTAATTATATGGCTGTCTTTAGCACAGTTAAACAAACGAGAACAGTAAAACAATCACTGGTACGGTTGGTTACAATAATAATTGTTTCAACTAAACCAATCGCGTTCTCTTGGTAAAAGTAGGTTACTACATATGTTTGGCCTTCGTATGTCTGTACTGTGTATGGAAATTGCTTTGATCTAAGCCCTATGTCGCACACCTTGTGGAAATACACTGTCTCTATTAGTTACAGGTTACAATCTAATCAAGCAGCTAAAATGGGAATAAAAAGACGACAAATGTTAACAAGTTCCAAAATTCGTCATAAGTTTCTAAATGAGTTAGGTAATAAATAATCGGTAGTTACTTGAATAACATCGAGGATTGGTTTGATACATTTCACGCCGACCAAATGACCTAAAACGACAAGTGAGTGTTCCTAAAAATCACATTTATCAGGAATTACTGATTCATTCTTTCAAAGAGTGGGAGGGTGCCAAAGTTTTTCATTCTAATCAATTCACTCATGTAAAGAGCAATGCTTAAAAGGTCCAGATGTCTGAGACGTGCGAAAGCTGGAAGTTCCTCATTTTCAGTGTAGTGTCTCACTCCGTTTCAAATCCTTTTACTAAACAGACGGCTGTAAGAAATAACGTAACTGTTGAATTATACACTGACACATAGAT